AAGGCGGCCAGTTCACGAGGACCATGTGAGAGGAGCCTTCTCAGGAAGCTCGCCCGTGCTTTGGCGAGCGCTAGTGGTGGAGACAGGGCTCTGGCCTCCAACAGGACTCTGAAGCTGTGTACCTGTTCCGCTGCAGACCGCCTGTGGAAGAGCGCGCGCCATAGTGTCATGTAGTGTTGCTCCCAAACACGCAGCTGATATGCGGCACGGAGGAAGAGGGTGGCTGCCGAGTGTGCAAACTTAGAAACCACCAATGACCGCAAGAAGTAGGACCGCAGCTGAATGGGGATAATGCGCGTCCCGAACAAGCGACGCCGCAGTGGCTTAAGTGTTCCTGATGCCTGTGCAAACCTGTAATGCAGGTCGGGAAGAGGGTCACACGTAGACACAATGATACCCCCAAGGTGTCGGTATGACTCTACCACTGGGACCCAGTAAGGTTTGTCGGCAACACTATTGCGGAGGCCAAGCACAAGCTGTCCCATGTCATCATACGTGAATGCGCTTTGCTGGTTGCCTATGACGGCTGGTGGGAAAAGAACGGCAGTCTTCTCCCGACCGTACTTGACCGTCATTCCTGCTGCTGTTGCAAAATCCACGACTGTCTCAATGGTGCGGCGAGTGCGACTTAGCAGCTCAGTAGGGTCACTCCCAGTCTGTGGCGCAACAAAGTCGTCAGCCCACGCAGGTAGTCCAAGTCTGACAGCACCAACATCCGCTAGACATCCGGGACGGTCCGGGGCAGAAGGGAGATCCGGTACAAGATCGCGGGCGTTGAGGCTGGTCTGTATGGCATGCATGAGTGCTGACAACGTGAATCCGAACATTAGGTCGGCAGTTGGGTCGCCGGGCCTGGACCCACGGGTAGTTACCGTGAGTTGCGGAAAGCCTGACAGCCTGAACCATGTGCCTCGAAATAAGTCCTGGACTACGGCGACTGCATGCGGCGTGGCACCCAACCTTGGGAGTTGTGTAACGCGCCTAAGCTGCGTGCACAATTCCTGTATTGCCTCTGCTGGCAAGCAAAGGTGGTGAAGCAGGCGGAGCAGCTCTTGGTCGCCCTCAGTGGCTGGCACGAGAGCTTGTCTCAGTACCTGGTAGAAGGCCGCCTGAAGGTCAAAGAAAGTAAGCGAGGCCGGCTTTCGTGAAGCCTTGCTCATAGCGTAAAAGGATCGGATAGCAAGCGCGGTGTGTTCGATCCCTTGGCCCGGGGCGACTCCTGCCTGGAAAGTGGGCTGGCTCGAAGTCAGGAGCGGTAGGAGTGCCTCCCTGAGGCTCCTGTGGTACAGCTTGCCTGGCACAGACGAGACAAGGATGGATCTATAGGCATCGCACCCTAGCACCTGGCCGGCCCGTTTGGCCAGGCACACTAGCTCTCCACCTCGAAAGGTAACTGGCTCTTGTGCGCGTAGGCTAGCCTTGAGGAGCACTGGTATGAGTTGTCTGGCTACCAGTGGGACATCCAGCTTAAGCAGCTCCGCCGTGATCCCGTCCGGACCGGCAGCACGCGCATTCCGGGAGGCGAGAATATGTCTTTCCAGGGCACTAAGTGTCGGTACAACTTGGATGTCTAGGGAGTGCTCGACAATGCAGTGCCTCTCGAAGGCTTTGACATAGCCCGAATCGTCAACCTTATGTCCGGCCTCCTGGGCGGCAAAATGGCTGCGCCATGCCTCTGCGCGCTCAGCAGTATTGCGGGCGAACGTGCCATCAGAGAGTTGTAGCATCGGCAGAGGCTGAATACCTTGTCGCCTGGCAGAGCGGGCCGCAGGGAAGGCCTGGCGTAGAACCCTATAGAGAGACTTGGGATCTCCAAGGTGTCCACCCGCAACCTCCTGTGCAAGGCGGTCGAGGTAGGCAATGCGGTCTGCCGCAACAGAACGTCTAAGCATCCGAGCAAGACGCTTATAATTGGCAAGCATAGAAGCTTCCCACGCATCAGCTTCCTTAAGCCAGCGGTCAGCTATTTGGGTTTGTGCCTGTGAGAAAGCTTGACCCCTAGCATGCAGTAGGAAGGCGACAAGGACAATGAGCTGCCATTTGCGTATACGCTCCCCATGGGCATCGCGGAGGGCAACCCGGATTGGCCGCCGCTCATCAACAATGTCCAGTGAATGCTGCGACAGGTATGGTCGCGTGGTTGTCCTGCTGTCGGGTGGAGAAATGCTTGAACCCACACGTTGCCAGGCTTGAACCAGTGTATGGTAGTGGGCATCGGCTGAAGCTAGCCACGTAGTGACAGGAACAGCTTCTGTCAGGAAACGGCTGGCTGTTTTTCCTCTGGCATCCGGCGTAGGGCGAAAGATCTGCTTCCTGGTACAGGTATAAGATTTGCCAGGGAGGTTCCGCACGAACTCACATGCCAGGAGGACAGGAATATGATCCTCCCGGAGCTGCATAAGTTCAACTCTGGGGCAGGTGCGTGACACAAAATGTGCATGCTGCCAATGGCGTGGAACCAAAATGTAGTCAATGCGGGACCACGTGCCGTGTGGTGAGCACCATGTGTGGTGCGGGCCGCTGTGCCACTGTGACCATGTTGCGGGGACTATGGCATCAATTTTTTGCAGAAACTCGTGGAACAGTGCACCAGCCTGTCCTTCCTGCTCGGCACCATGGTCGCCAACTAGGTCTGAGCAGACATCACCTAGCTTGGAATTGGCATCGCACATGACTATATAGTCGGCAACTTCTGGTCTGTCAAGGATGTCAGTAGCACGAAGGTTCCAGAAGGCGCGGGCCTCTTCGGCTGTCACGCTGGCAAGGGAGGGGGCGTGTATCACATAAAGTTGTAGCCGGAACCTGGGCGTCTGCACATGAACGGCGAGGTGCCTGGCGGAGGCACCAACTACTGTTACATCTGCAGGCCGGATGTAACGGATGTCGCCAGGCGCACGATATATCGGAACCTTTTTGGCAATCCATAACGAACAACCTCCTGCACCAGCGTCGGTAGATGCTGTGCTGTACATGTAGTAGTCGGCATCTGATTGTGTGGCTGACTGTGGCAGCCGGGTTTCTTGCAAACCTACGAAGAGCGGAGCGAAAGGGGCGAGGGACGCCTTGAGCACATCTTTGCGCCCTAACATGCATAAACCAACTCCAGTTGAGCCTGCAACTTCCTTGTCTCGTAGGGTCAACACATTAAGGCTGATACTCGAGAATGAGAAGTCTGCCGTGGCAGCTGGTGCGCCCCTGTGTTGAAGGCCGTGTGAGGGAGCCGCGACTCTAGCATGGGCATGGGTTTGTGCAAGAGAAACCTCTGTGTCAAAACAGTAGAGGTGTGGTACATCAATCTGGCCAGGGACTGTGGCCCAGGCCCAGGAAGACAGAGGATGTTTGGCCCAAGAGGCAGACCATGTCGGCAGACATCGGTCGTATACACTTTCGCCTTGAGAGCGGGCGAGTTTCGCCAAAGCGTCGCACAATTCATTGCCAGCAAAGCCGGCATGGCCCTTGACATGCTGGTGGGCCGTGGGCAATCTCGCATTGAGATATTGACGCAGAGCTGCAGCAAAGGCGGCAAGGGGAGTGTAATGCTCGGGAGCTGCTCCTTGAACGGGCCGTGCTGTGCCAAATGTGCCCTGGCCGGCACTCTGTGCATCGTAGAGAAAGCGCACAGGCACTGAATATGCCGGGGCGTGCTGCGCTGCCCAGCACATGGCCCAGCAAAGCGCTAATAGTTCGGCAGTCAAGGCATCCTCGAGCATTTCGCCAAGGTAGTACGGCGTTCCTGGCGGGACGGACTGGGCCGAAGCATGACCGACAAGTCAGTGTCTAGCCCCTGATATGGCGAAAACCGCAAAGCTCCAGGCACATGGGCTAATGGCTGAGGCCCCTGACGACGCGGATCCGTCTGTGTAGACGTCAAGCTGTTCTGGCACCGGTGATCCTTCGTGGCACCAGATGGGCATATTGACCAGGGCAGTCCTAACTTCCAGAGGAACCCCTTGGAAATTCAAGACGGCACCGAGGTCTGCATCCAGCCAGTCAACCTCCTCTATGGGCAAGGCGTGTGGAAGACACGACTGAAGTTGCAGGACTGCTTGTTGGTGGGCGCTGACAGGAACAGCTTCCGCAAGGCAGACGACTTGAGGGGGGGCAACATGTGCACGAAACAAATGGTCCTCTAGGACCTCAATGAGAATGCAGGCCTCTTGAAGTGCTCTATACTGGTTCCGGACTAGGCTTTCCTCAAGTAGGGTGGGCCCGTCGAAATCGTAGGTCTCTTCAGAAAGGGCAGCATCCCCGTCTGATCTAGCAACAGAGACAGCATCATCGCTGTCAGCACTGTGCGCATGAGGTACGAGGGCTGGGATCCTGACGTGTGCCCGACACGGGGTGGCAAGCAGTCTACGGGGCTGTGCGCCTGGTTGACATTTGGCAGGTTGGCTGCTCTCAGCCCGATCGGCCGATGAGACTGCAGTCTCCATGGCTGTAGCGCACTGGAAATTGGAGAACCCGACCAAAGCAATGCAAGCAATCAGGGCGGCCTTAGTGGGCTTCCTGCTTAAGGCCCCAGATCCTACTAGGGCCAAAAGTAGACAGCAACAAAGATGGGGGGCGAAAGTGGGCAGCCGAAGGGGAACGCCTCGGTGTAAGTGGTGGAACCAGTCCGGCAGCGGTGTCACTGGCCAACTGACACAAGGGCGTGGTATGTACCAGGTGTACACTGTATAAATGTCCTCATCCCGGATAGAGCCTTGGCATGGAGGGACAGAGGTGAAAACCTGATGGCTCTGAAGTAGAGCTTCTTGATGGATATCAGGCTGCCACATAACCATTCGTCCATGTCGCGGTTGCTGTGGGAGGTTGTACTTTACATGAGAGAGGGGCCCAAACAGGAGGATCAGAGTAGCCCAACCTGTTCCTGGGTATCTGACAGAGTGGCCTTCTCTCCAATCATTCCACCTGTGGGGGTTATCGCTGCTCGACGGGGGTTGTGCCCAACTGCCAGTAGTGCTGGCTGGACCTTCACCTGAGCCAACCGCTCGATCATGTGGAAGGTCACCCGCAGGCGGCTCTTCGGTCGCGGCGGTAGTGCTGGCAACAGGGTTCCTTTGTAAGGCTGGGAGTGCCTCAGGTAGAAACTCCACAGTAATAATTTCGCCGGGCTGGACTGTCCTAATTTGCTCTACCAGTCTTCGAATGGGAGCGCCGCCAAAGGCGACTGGTTGGAAGCCCTGCGGGCAAAAGGCTTGTAGTCTATGCAGCAGGGCAGCAACATCGTATCCTGCAGTAGGCGCAAGTGCTGCTTGAAAGTCCAGATGGATAGGCCTTAGATCTAGCAATATGGGCGTGGGCGATACTTGTTCCCCAAAATCAGGGACAGAAAGCTCAACCGCTAGCAACACATTGCGCACCAAGAGCCCTTTGTTTGTGGCGTCCCGGATGGGCGGGACTGCGGGCCTAATGACCAGGTCCCTTAAAGGGATTCCTAAAGCAGCGGCGACATCTGTGCGAAACTCCGCAGTACGGAGGCGGTTAACCTCATACAGGACTGGCTCAACATCAGTAATGAGGAGCACCCGGTCACCGTAGTCTCCCGCAAAGGCATCATCGGAAGTCCATCCTTCACTCGAAGTAAGCATGACGCTCAGTTCGTGCCGAACCGGCGCAACAGAAGCATCAGGGACGATGGAAAGAAGGTCACCCGTGGAAATAGCAATGACATCATGTGGCCCAAGCGGCCAGGGCACATCTGTGATGTACACTTGTACTGGTGCATCTGCAGGGAGGTCCGCAATGGCAAGGACGGAGGCAAAGTCTACTCGCGCAGGTGCGAGGACCGCAAACAGCCGCCCATCAACGCCTCTAGAATCGACAAAAACTGTGGTTTGAGTGGCTGGCCAAGCTGGCTCGCCAACAAAGACAGCAAATCGTCGGTCCGGTTGTGGGAAGACCGCAGTGAGGTGGGGAAAGCGGCGAAGGTCACATTGTACGCGCTGTCGGGCGACCTGTTGCATAAAGGCCTCAGCAAGGGCTGGGGGGGTCAGGTTCAGGTCGTGCAGTTCTGGCAGGTAGCCAGGGACTGCTATAAGTACCTGTACATGCAGCCCCGCAGGGGCAACTGAGGTGTCTGGCGCTGTCAGAGGGACAAGGTTGAGCCTGCGTGGCATCTCTTGCTGTAACTGGGTGACAGCTGCCTGCACCGTCGGAGCTGTGATGA